GCAGCGATGAACTGTTTTCACAGACAGTGTTTTTCAGAAGTGTTTCTGAGCCCATGTAGTGATTTCTACTGCAGAATCATGTTTGTTTTTAATGCAGTGCTGCCTGAGGGCCCAAAGATCACGCCAGAAAATACTGGTTCTTGGCCTTGTCCCTTGCATACAGAGATTTCTCCAGATTCTCTGAATCTTTTAATGTTATTATGTACCGTAGATGATGAAAAGCAAAAGTTCTTTGCTTGAATTGTTGCACTATTTGATCGCGCAGTCTTTCACAGAGTGGTCAACCCCTCCTCATCTCTACTTCTGAAAGACTCAGCCTCTCTGAGATGCTCTTTTTATACCCAATCATGTTACTGACCTGTTGCCAATCAACCACCAAGTGTTTCTTTTAGCATTACACAACTTTACCTGTCTTTTGTTGTCCCCTGTCCCAACTCTTTTGGAACGTGTTGTTGGCATCAAATTCAAATTCAAGTTTTGGGGCTGTACTTCAGAACAATGAGACCTAACTGCTAACTACTAAACTATTACTAAGTATTACTACCAAGTATTATTTCCACAAGTTTAAATTTAGGGGTTTGTGACAGACACCTTGCAAAAGAAAGTACCCTATAAATGATGAATTTGTTTATATTTAGCTTATTACTATTTAATAAATTAAATAGATTTTAGATAGATCATAACATAAGTTTGTATTTATTTATTTGTTTATTTATTTATTTATTTATTTATATTTTACTATGGGGCCGCTGGTTGAACTAATTTAGTACAATGATCCGTAAAGAAAAAGCTGTTCAGGGAATGGTGAACGTGTTTCTTAAACTGTAGTACAAGAACTGAGCTAGCCTTTACTTAAAGAAGAGCTTAGATTTCTGTTTACATAGCCATAAATAAATAAATAAATAAATAAATCAGGACCTGTCCTTGCATATCCAAACAAAGACACACTCTTTTAAACATGATTTATCACTTCTTGTGTCATCATAGTGTCCAACGGCTTTATAAACATCACATTTTATGTCCAATTTGTGCATCCCCTACTGACCAGTCAATTAAAGACCATGGTGAGCAATGGCGGTTACATTTGAATAAAATCCCAATGCCAATACCGTTGGTAATACCAGATAATAAATTTTAAAAATGAATAAATCTCCATATGTTATGTAATGTAAATATTTATAATACATAGTGCAGGAGCAGTGGAAAAAACAACTATTTTTACAGAGCATTTCTTTCTGATGGGACAATGATTAGTAAGCTTGGAAGCAAATGGCTCTTTTTCAGCTGCGCTATTCAACAGTAGGCACTTATTGGCAATTTAACAAAATGGTGAATCATCATCCTGTTAATGACTGGAATTAAGTAAATGCCACTACCTCTCAGCACTGTGCCACCAACAAACTGTTCAGAAGAAAAGTAAGGGACGTTATGTCACTAGAAAATAAAACACAAACAATCCCGGTCCATTTGTGTGTGTTACAGAGGACGAGGCTCAAGTGTACAAATAATGTCACACAGTTCTGACCATCAGTAATGAATACGTACAAAACACAAATAGTCATTCAAACTAATCCAGGCCTGATGCCACGTAGGGTGGGGGGCAAAAGGGGGTATCATCTCCCCTTAACATGATCTTCCCACCCCCTCAGCTTTGGACATAATGATCTTGCTCCATTACAAATAGCCAGATTAATTCTCCCAAAGATTTTAATGTCTTTACTCTATCAGTGGTACTACAGTTATATAGTACTGCAGACCAGGGGTCCAGAGCTGCATGCGGCTCTTTTACTGTCCTGTTGCGGAGCAGCTCTGCTGATCGTTCAACACAGTTTAACAATAAATGGTCTTAAACGCTGGAGTTAATGTAGAACTGCTGATTCACCATAGCAAAGAGAAAGATTTAAGACGGACATTGATCATTTGATCAATGATCAAATGAGACAAATTGATTTTTTTGCATTTATTTTCACTCCAGCTGTTTTCCTGATATGTTGAATCTGCAGAGAGAAACTGCCAAACACTAAAAATTCACAAGGCTGAAGTCGCTTCTCATTCGCCAGCTTCTTGTTCAGATTTTCACATTCCACCTTAAATGGTGGAACAGTTAACTACATAGTTAGTTACATTCTGGCGCCTTAGGCACCATTTAAGGTGGAACGGGAAAATTCAAACAAAAATCGGGCAAATGAGAAGATGAGTTCAGCTTCATAAAAGTCAAACGTTAAGAGACATTTTACAAGAAACTATTCAACGTTTGAGGAAAAGTTTCCTGCTGGAGATGCGAGAAAAGACGCTATAGCTGAGCTAAAGCTTAAAGCGGAGCAAAGTAAGTCTGCGTTTTCATTTGTATTATAGTTTTTAGCCTATATAGGACATTAGCATATACTTAGACATATTTACTACCAAGATGGTGAAACGTTATTTCAATAAAATGAACGTGAAATGTTGTGGCTCCCAAGGTGATTAGACTTTTGTTGAAACTTGACAAAATGGCTCTTCTTAACATTTGGGTTGCGACCCCTGGTATAGACTATCATACCTTCCTCGTTTTTGCTTGGATTAAATGGTGGGCAGACCACTTGATTTGACCATGCCTGCCAGGCACTCAGCTTGAGAATCTATGCTCCTTTTCTAAATATTGATTGTGGCTAAATTAGCCTTTTAAGTCTAACTAGCAAACAAAGTCTTTCTTATTACTCATTAGATTTAGTATCATGGATTGCCCTTGACCACAGGCAGTGGTTGTTAATGTTTTGTAACAGAGGTCAGAAAAGGAAAAGTTGCCAATACAAAGTAAGTGTGATTCATACATTATACGTCAAAAAGTTTGTAGATACCTGCTCATCTAATGTTTCTTCCAAAATCAGACGCATTTATGGCCAGCTGCCCCCTTTTAGTAACAGCCTCTACTGTTCTATGGCTTTACACTAGATGTTGGAACACTAATGATCTGACTGCATTCAGCCACAAGCGCTTTAGTGAGGTCAGGAACTGATGGTGGATGATTAGTTCTGGAACTCATCCTAGAGGTATTGGTTGGAGCTCCATCACTCCAGAGAATGCAGTTCCACTGCTCCACAGGCCAATTCAGGGGGCCTTGTACCCCTCTAGCTGACAGCTGGCATTCGGAATTAGGATTTAGGCTCATGTGTGGCTGCTCAAGAGTCTCATTCTAATATAATGTACCTCTGCATAACATAACCATATGTAGCTCTTTACATTTAAGTCATGCTTTGTGTAAAAAAACCTACAGTAAGTATGTGAGGGTCCATGTTTTTGATAGTTCTATCACTTATTTTTTATATTTTTTTATCTAAAATTAACAATGAACCTCACTAAACACTCTCTAATTCATGTAAGTGGTTAAAAAACCTGTATTAGTAAATTTATGAAAGCCTTGCAGGCCAAAGAAATTGACTTTTTTGTCAATAAGTCTGGACAGCAAGCTAACTCCAAACATGCTAAACTACCTTCAAGTTAGCTTGTTCACTGGGCTAAGAAACCATATATGAAGAGATGAATATTATGTCTAATCAATGACACAGATGAACAGAGATCGTGGAGGTTTAGTTTGGATGGAGAAAGTGCAGTTTAGCAGCACTTGGCTTTGCAAAACATGGCACAACTAGCTAACCGTGCCTCACAGAAATGTTCGCTAGGCTAACAACTTTCCTCACCATGAATATGTAAAAGATGTCAATGAGCTACTGTTACTAACATAACGGCTGCTGAAAAAAGTCACAGAAACCATTAAAAGTTTCAGTTGGTTCCTGGTGATGTTCAGTGGTCAGTAATGGTATCTTCTGTTTTCCTGATGGGTTGATATCAGAGTGTAAAGGATTCTAATGGTTTAACAGGTGACATGACTGATTCCAGAAACATTGGATGGTTTCCTAAAGGGATTTAAGGGTGTGCTACAAGAAACTGGTGGTCTCTAGTGGTAACCACAAAGTCAGTTCACATTAGAAAGCAAAACCTTCAGGCTAATAGACAAAATTCCACTTATCATCGCTCATTTTCCACACACAGTCCAAATTACTTCTTTTTCCTTCCTTCATTTCTTTAGTTATACTTTATAAATTAGTTTAGTGAGTAATTTTAGTCTATCACAGTGTCAATAACAACATTGTCTAGGCCTAGTCATTATTGTTTTCTCTCAGTCTTTTTTTTTATATTTATTTTCTAAAATAAAAGTCTGTTTGAGGAGATTAAAAACTAGTTAGAGCTTGTTTGCAGAACAGTAATCTGGGTGGTCTGAGGGTGGACCAGCTGTGGCAAACAGTCAGTGGGGTGCTGACCTCATCCAGCCTGTGGACCGATATATGCTCACTATCTGGCATATTAGATCACTTCAGCACATAGAGCTTAACAAAGAAATGATAAATAGTTCATTTTGTAGCCAGTGACAGAAGTTGCAGGTCTGCAGTCCCACTCTAGCAAACCTAGGAAAAAGACCACTGTAAGCATTAGCATTAAACCCTAATGGTTTTGCTTTCTAATGGTAACTGGCTGAATGGTTACCATTAGAGACCACTAGTGTCCCATAAGGAAACCACCAGATGTATCTGGAATCAGTCCCAGGACACTTGTTAAACCATTAGAATCCTTTACACTGTGATATCAACCCATAAAATTACCATTACTGACTACTGGACAGTAGTAGTACTGACCACCCCAGGAACCACCAGAAACTTTTAATGGTTTCTATGATTCTTTTCAGCAGGGAACACTGTTCTATTGAGTACTAAAAAGGGGTTCTATGGCTTGTCACCCTCTAGAACCAGTCACACCATTTTTCTCATTACTTAACAATACAAAGTACCACTTAACAACGCAAAGAACCCTTTATGCGTTCACACGGTTCTCTGAGCGTCTGTCTCTTTAGTCTCACTGAAGAAGGGGCAGTGAGCGGCTCTCGACTCCAACCATCATCATACAGGCGTTAATAAATCGTCGTGACTCGTTTCTGATCGATCGAGGGAGGCATTTACTTCACTCACCGGAGTCTTCAGACGCCTCAGTGTGGGTACACGGCTTATCCACGGGCAGTGCTCTGTGCTCTCCTGCTGTCTTCTCCACTGACGCGCTCCGTGAGCTTCTCGCCGTGAAGAACCTGAGGAGATATTCCCAACTCTGCTTCACTGCGCGGTCGAGCCCCACTGTCAACTTCGACTGCGCTCAGAAAGCGAGCGATCAGCCTCTCTCTCTCTCTCTCTCTCTCTCTCTCTCTCTCTCTCTCTCTCTCTCTCTCTCTCTCCCTCTCGCAGACCTTTTGTAGCTGCGGTGCTCACTTTGCTAGTGATGTTCTTCCTGCAAAGAAGTCAGAAAACTGAAAGCTTCTCTGAAATATCAATGCAAAAATGTAACCCCTGGGTCATTTGGGTCATTCTCCATCTGGAGTGGGAATTCAGGTGAATACAAAAATCAATTTCTTTCATCCCTAAAACTAAATAATCTTAATACGTCCATTAACATTTATTATTATCATGTATGCAAAAAGGGGAGCTGAATTCCAAACATATTTTACAGTCACTGGTGTTGTGTGAATATGGTGTAACACCAGTGATGGTGACTCCAGTGACATTCTGGTTAAAACTGAGGATTTTGTAAATTGGCTGACTCATTGATGGTCAGATGACCTTGTGCAACTATTTAAAATCAGTATAATAAAAATGATATTTGGCATTATTTTGACAAATTTCTAATCATCCAGCCATTAAAACATATAATACCAGTGACACATAGAAATGATGTGTTGCCAGATAAACAAAATATTAATAAATGAATGAAATACAGTGAGTGAGTGTGACTCGAGATGCTTCCTCTCTGATGAGCCTCGACCCAAAGAAGCAGTTTAGTAGAGCTGAAAATACTGTGTTAAAATGTAGCATAAGAGTCCTGATAACACCAGTGACCGAAATCTCTGTGACAAATGAATTTTTAAAATAAAATACATATTTTTTAAATGTAGTATAACATTAATGGAAAAAAAAGTAAAGATGAATGTGTTTTATACAAATTCTTATGTTAAGCCTCTTAAAATATTGTATTATATTAAAGATGGTTTCTCAAATGTTGAAAATCGGTTTTGTGATGAGCTGTTTTACAGATGCAGAGCGACTATGAAACAGGATAAAAAAAAATTGTAAGTTGTAATAAAATAATCCTTTGTTGCAGTAAAATAAAGCTCTGCTGATTGTTCAACACAGTTTTAATAAAAAATGGTCTTAAACACTGGAGTTAATGTAGAACTGCTAATTCACCCTTTAACCCTGAAGGTTGGCACGCAGACTGCTGGTCACCATAGCAATGCAGATAACAATCTCGCCTAGCTAGTCCCTAACGAAATGGCAAAGAGAAAGATTTAAGATGAACATCAATAATTCGGAAAATATTGTTTTTATATTCACACCAGCTGGTTTCCTAACACATTTCATTAGTTTAATCAGTCTTGCAATACGTTAGTTAGTCCTGCAGTGAGAAACTGTCAAACACTAAAAAGTTGCGTAGCTTAAGTCAGCTTCTCATTCGCCAACTTCTTGTTCTCATTCCACCTTAACTGGTGCAGCAGTTACATTCTGGTGCCTCAGACATCATTTAAGGTGGAACGGGCAAATTCCAACAAGAAGCTGGTGAATGAGAAGTGACTTCAGCCTTGTACAAAAGTCAAACATTGAGAGACATTTTACAAGAAACATTATACTATATATTTTAGCCTGTACTAGTACATTAACCCATACAGAGACATATTTACAGCCAAGATGGTAAAATGGACATAAAATGTTGTGGCTTCCAAGGTGGTTTGATTTTTGCTGTAAGGGCAAAATGGCTGTTCTTAACATTTGGGTTGCCGACCCCTGCCCTACATGAAAAAAACAGGAGTTTTCAAAAATGGAGTTCAAAAAACTTAAGAGCTACAGAGAAAATGACAACCACCTGCAAGACCTGCTAGACCACCAAAACATTCCCCATCAGGGAAACAGGAGAAACCTCAGAAAATGAAGCTTCAGTCTTGTTTCTGTAAAAATCCACAGGTGTTTCAAGAAGCCCTCACTGAGAAGAGGAAATCTGACACATTAAGCAAAGAAGCAGCTGGTGATCTCAGAACAATGGACTGAGTCCAGACCTCAACATGATGGAATGTGTTTGATTACTTGGATCGTCAGAAGCAGAAAATGCAAAACCAACTTCTAAGACTGAACTTTGGAATGTGTGTGAAAAAAACATAATAAACACTGTGTGATGACAGCAGTTGGCTCACCAGTTCTAATAACACTAACATAAAATGCCTTGAAGCTTTGTTAGTATGTGATAAACCTAAATTCTCAAAGCATGATGTGTTGGCATTAGTATCAAACTACATCACTTTTATAGCGCAGATGTCATGACATTCCTCGCGTAGACGTTTTCAAGGCTTGTCTATAATGATTCATGTCCTAAATCATCAGGTCCTCCACTCCCAATCCCCAGTGGTTAGAACCTGGGGGAGTGTAGGGGGAAAAACAGTATCCGGTCAAAATGACTCTCCTGCAATTACTACAGAGGGCAGGACCTGCTCTTATGTAAAGAACTGGCTGTGCTGCTTTATTCCCGTCTCAAATTGAGGCCCTGTGGATGTGCTACATGGGCGTAATTGTGGTATATGTGGCATTTATTTGCTCTTCCAATTGTTTCTCGGTGTGGTGACTTCTCTGTACTGCTGGCAGTCTGCCTGTTAGAAAAGTAGCTCCAAGTATATAATTTGAACACGTCATAAAGAGGAGGTTTTCCAGATAAATATTAAGTTCAGTCTTCAGACAATGGTGCTCCTTCACTGAAAGCTTCTTTAATATTAAAGGAGAAATCTCCTCACACCCCCTCACCTCCCAAAAAATAACTTTTATCTATTGTGGGACATGACATTTCTGACATAATTGCACAGTATTCTGGGCTTGTTTGCTCAGAAGGCTCAACCCTGCAGTGCTCTTCAGTGCCTTCTAAACCTACTGGCAAAAAATGGCTATGAAAATGTGTTAGTTTCACAGTTTGACCTCACTTTGACACCTTTCAGTGAGGTCATTAATGAAAACAAAATCACGTCTCAGAATTATTAGCACCACTAGAAGCTCCAGATGAACCAAATTTAATTGACACACATTCCCATTCATATTTTATCTCGACGATTTGTTTGATCGTTTGGTATAAATTCACAGTCTTGAATTAATACATTATATTCTTAAGTGCAGATGGACTTTGAACACTCATATAAACTCTTGTTGGTGATTCATGTGTTGCTAAAGAGACAAAAAGGGGCAACCATCTTTAATCTATCAAACACTTTCAAAGACTATAGTCATCAGACGAAACAAAAGATTGTTGGCCTTCGGAAAACAGGCAATGACTTAAAAATTAGCTTCACACCTAAAAACATCCATCTCCACTATTACTATTAGGAGGATAGTTAAGTTTCAAACAAATGGAGCTGTAGTGAAGAAGAGGCTACTAGAAAATGACAAATGAGTATTTTGCCTTTACATGAAGTGAGAATGGTTCAAAAGGCTGGGCTACATTCACAATACAAGCCTTGATCGTTTGTTTTTAAGTGGCCCAAATCTGTAATTAGTGTAAATACCCCTCTATCCTCGAACACCATCACATAAACACATCAGTAATGTCACGTGAATGATCCATGAACATAAACAACAACAAATGAACAAACTAGCAGCACAAGCCTTCATTGCAAAGATTATTTGCAAAGCTGTCCATGATCAGGGCGAGAGGGTGAATAAGGCCAGATGCTTTAATGCAGGGATGTCCAACTGGTTTCCTTCAGGGCCGCAGCTCTGCAGAGATTAGCATTTTCCCTTTTCTAAAACTCAAAATTGAATTCAGCTAACAAAAGCCATGCTAATTAGCTGATGAGTTGAGTCAAGTGTGTTTAAAGAGGAGGAACAGTAAGGCCCAATCCGATTTCTTATTTTTACCCCTACCCCTTGTTTTCAAGGGTCACTTTTCCCCTTGGAACCGAGTTACTGGTTGAAATTTTCCCTACGAAATGAAACAACCCTCAAATATAAAGAACATTACTACATTAACAGCTACTAGTGCTGCTCTGTAGGCGACCCTGCCAGTCTGCAGTGACAGCAGAGGAGGGTAAAGTTCAGCTCCTCACTGCTGGGCTTCAGTTACATTTAGGGCATCATATGCCTTCAAAGAGGGGGGATGCGCCAGAATGTAACTCCTGCACCATTTAAGGTGGAACAGGAAAATTAGCTTACTAGTTACTGAGACTTCAGAGTACTATTAGCAATTTTTATGCTTGTTTTGAAGAAAAGGACCATAATACATTGAAACAACATTAAGACAATACCATTGTTAGCATGATATTTTCTTGTGCTTTTTTCTCATAACACTCTTTTTGGAGTGAGCCTCAGCAAAACCTCCATTTGGAGAGCCATGTAGCCCTAACACTTCTCCCTACCCCTCTATCTCAACAAGAATCAGGACACCCTATCCCTGGGCATGAATGCACAAAATGGAGGGTAAGGGCTTAGTGATAGGGGCGAGGGGGTGAAGTGGGAATGAGCTTAAATCTACAGTACTGTGTCCCACCAGAACTGGAATCTGGAGCATGTGTAGTGGAAAAAACAAACACATGAATTCTGATTTGACCGTTCTCATTAGGGTTGTGTGGCCATAAACCAGATATGTGTTTCTTCAAGGACCACATAAAAAAGAATCTGATTTGAAAAGATTTCAACCTAGCAATGTAAGTAAGTAAGTAAAGTTTATTTATATAGCGCTTTTTACAACAGGTGTTGTCACAAAGCAGCTTTACAAGGAAATGAGCATTACAAAAAGAAGTCCGGGTCTGAGCCCCCATGAGCAAGCCAGTGGCGACAGTGGCAAGGAAAAACTCCCTAAGAGAAACAGGAAGAAACCTTGAGAGGAACCAGGACTCAGAAGGGGAACCCAATGTGAACGTAGCCATAAATGCCAACACGCAAGAAGCCTCGCCAGAAATAAATCTCTGCTGGTTTAAAACCATAAACATAAGAACCTAACCTCTACTCTGAAGAACTGTTATGAGTCAGTAATGTTGTGGAACTGTTGTTGTCTAGATCAGTGGTCACCAACCAACTCTGGTCCTGGAGATCTACCCTCCTGCTTATTCTGGCTCCACCCACACTCAAGCTAGTTAACTTTTTCAGAAGTCCATCCAA